GATTGTAAACAAGCTGATAACAGTAGTTGGCAGATTGCATGGATAGCTACTATGACTCAAGTGAGCCTGGTTATCTTGGGTGCAAGGGTCAGGACTCATTATCGCTGGACCGGCTGTCTGTGTTCTGAGAAATAATCTTGCAATTCCAGGAAAAAGTTTTGTTAAATCTTTAATTTACTCTTTAAATATTTTAAAATGTTAACATCTACTCACATACTTTTATATCAAACAATTAACTTAACACTTTGGTATAAAACTCATTTCAAACAAAACTATAAAAACCACTTTTTAATGGAAAAAGTTGAAGAGCACACTTGCACCTGTTCAATCACTCAGGGGTCTTCCCCCACTCCCCATAGGGTATGTAAATAAGCAATAAACCTTTTTCAGCTATGTAGCAGTATATTGAAAATATGTTTAGCAGTCAGTACGTGGAACCAGTTTGGGGCTAAGAAGAAAGGACAAGCTCCGATTCAGAGAAAAGATTATATATCATTCTTTTTTTTCAGTTACTAGTATTTAGTTCTATGTTTTAATTGTGTTAAATGATAATGGTGAGAAATTATAAGAAGAAAGGTGATAGTAAGCAAAACAAATATACAAATAAGGCATTACAATCAGATATAAAAAGAGGACTTTCAGTTAGAGGTGCATAAAAAAATGATGGAGTGCCATTTTCAACACTTTTACATGCTTTACAACGAAGCTCAGATAAAATTACAAGTGCAGTTAAAAGAAAATTTGAAGAATCTTTCCATAAAGACTTAGAAGCACCAACACTAAGTAGGCTAATACAGAAAATATACAAAGTGAGTATGACATACTAATTAGCAAAATAAAAGAAAAATTCAAATTTTCTCGCAAAGATTGTAAAATCAAGATAATTAATTAGTCTCTTGCCAAGATCATGGTCAAAGCAAAAAATTATTAAGGGATTTGGTGCATCTGAATACATGGTAAAGTTAACTAGACAGCTAACTAAGGATCAAGGTATTTTACCGCATCTATAAAAATAAGGCGGCAACAAAATAAGCAAAGTTGTTAAAATTGCGTAGGAGAATATTACAAGGACGATAAAAATAGTTTCTTATGTCCTGTTAAAAAAGAGTACCCTATGTTTTAACTTTAATTGCCAAATTAGGATTCATAAGCACAACAGGTTGCAATTAGGTGGATTTTGAAGAGATGCCATCAACCTCAGCGAATGAAGATGACTTTGTTGTTGTTACAGTTACAAGGCGGTTGTAACTGAATTTGTGATTATTGTGAATAATATTGGGTTTACGACTCATTGTTTGTTCTATTTGAAAATCTATTGGTGCTTTAAGAAACAAACAAACTGACTAGTGAGTGACAAGAAAGAGTGCCAGAAACAGTTCGTAGGAAAAGCCACAGCGATGACATAATCTACGCAGTGGCGTCTGCCGCTGTGCCTCTTGGAATGTAGTAGCAGACCACAGCTGTGAGAAGCTTTGCTTACAATCATGTATTGTGTGTTTATATTGTGTTGCTTGTTGTTGTTACAACTAATTCGGTTATTGCTGTTGTATCGGAAATTTCCACCTTGTATATCTCGACCTCTACCTAAACAAGGAGAGCCAGGATATGACCCTTGCGGAAGATTTCAACCCATTATAGATCGTGCTAAAGATTGTTAAAGTTTTATTAATACCCAAGCAAAGCATTATTGGTTGATGAATCTCTTGTTGGGACAAAAAACGAGTCGCCTTGACTCAGTAAATGTCTGCAAAGAAACATTATAAATGCGGTATTAAACTCTGGGTTTTCTGTGACTCTGTGACACGATATTGCGTACAGTTTTATTGTTATAAAGGGGCTCAACGATCCGATGACAATGAAAGAATTGTGGAGACTGGGTTGGCCAGCTCAGTTATGATGAAACTGTTAGAAATGGCAGGATTTCTAAACAAAGCCCATCACATATTCCTTGACTTTATTTTACCTCCATTGCTGTAGCTAAAACATTATACAGCAATAAAACCTTCCTCACTGGTACTCTGAGAGTAGGCAGAAGAGGAATATCAAAACAACTGCTGGGTAAATATAAAGTTGGCCAGAAGAGTTATGCGAGAAAGGGACCGATTCTTATGATGGCTTTCTGAGAGAAGCCCACAAATACCTCTCAATTTATTATTATATCATCTGACTGTGTAGCTAAGCCAGTTACTTATTCCATTCGAAGATCTGGTCAAGAATTGCTAAGGAAAAACAAAATACAATTTCAGTATAATAAAGGAATGGGGAGGATACATTCAACCGATCAGATGTTGTACGTTTATCTTGACAAAAGAAGAACGATGAAACACGCAAAAAATGTATTAAATGTAATTGGCAGAATGGTTCTGAAGTCATACATCTATATCTATAAAATCCAATGTAAGTTTGTTTGTATGTTTGTCCTTCATGGACTCCAAAACCACTCGACAGATTGTAATGAAGATTTCAGGCATTATTAAGGCATTATTATTCAAGGATGGTTTGTGTGAAGTTTGGTGCAGATCCGTCAAAAGGGCTCCGCCCCAGTGGCTCTGGAGTTTCCCATGTTAACCTTATGAGTACTCATATTTAAATGGAATTAAAGAATCTTAACAGCTGGTTCAACTAAACTATCTGATTCTGTGATGTTCAATAACATTAAAAAGTTAATAGGTTTACCAACAGGGTGCAGCACTATATTTTTTTAAGTTATGAGAATAGCTAATTTGCAACCAAAATGTGAGTGAGCGTAGCGAACGAACTTCAACCTGGAGACGAGTTAGCGTAGCGAACGAGCTAACCTGAAGGCAAGTGAGCGCAGCGAACGAGCCTCGACCTAAAGATGAGTGAGCGTAGCGAACGAACTTCAACCAGGACGTGATTGAGCCATGCGAACGAGCTCATCTTGAAAATGAACGAGCATGTGACATAAAACCACAATAGGACAGGACGACGTCTGTCGGGCCAGCTAGTTCTCTATAAATTAAATACACCAGGAAAAAAGCTGAAAAGGGCTGACTTTATGAGGGAAATAATTGAGGATTTATCAAAAGAATAGTTGGCTACAAAAAGTGGCAGTAGACAAAACTACAGGGAGAGATGTTGGCAGAATATATAATTAGCAAATTGAAAGAGTTGGGGCTGTCCATTGCTGACTGCAGGGGTCAAGATTATGACAATGGGACCAACATGAGAGGAGAAAAAAGTGGCGTACAGCTAAGACATTTACAGTTAAACCCTCTGGCATTCTTTTTTCCTTGTAGATGCCACAGCTTAAAACTCATTTTAGGAGACGCTGCTTCTGTTGAAGCACAAATATTTGTTGGTATTTTGCAAAGACTGTATACAATATTTTCTTGCTCTAGTAAAAGATGGAGCATTTTGAAATCTCATGTGACCATATCACTTAAACCACTTTCAGAGACTAGAGGGGAATGTAGAAGTGAATCTGTGAAAAATCAGTAATGTTTGTGATACACTTTCGACCCTACGTGAACAAAGCACAGATTTTGGTTTGACAAGTGAGTGCCAGTCATTGGAAAACGAAATTTCATCCTACGATTTTGTCGTATGTCCTGTAATATGGTACGAAATTCTTGTAAAAGTCCATACTATGAGTAAAGTTTGGCAGACATAAAGTCAAGAAAAACGATACGAACTTCAGAAAAAACTGAGGCTTCATCAGCTTCAGGAAAACCATAAAGGCGTCACCAGCTTCAGGAAAACCGTAAAGGCGTCACAACCGGGGTGCGTGGAGGAGGGGGAATAGTTCTCCACTAGTTTTCCACAAGTTGCTTGCCCAAATCGTGTAGAAACTAGTCTTCCCCTTTTTGTTGTAAACTTTCTTTGATCTTTACCGCCTCTCCGCGGTAAACCAAAATTTTGTAGAAAACTTGTCTCTCCACTAATGGACGACAGAAAAAGTCGCTGCATTTTGTAGAAAAAGCAACAAGTTTCCACAACTAGTGGAAAACTTAGAGGAAGACTTTGGTGTAAACACAGCTTTAGAAACCTGGGAAGACATGAAGACTGTTTTCCCTGCAACATATCGCCTGGCAAGGAAATATCTAAGACAAATGAGCCACATGCGTGCCTTCTGAGCGCTTATTTTCCAAGGCTGAAGCAACAGTTTCTCAAAAAAGGACCAGACTCTCCCCTAAATACTTAAAACATTTTTTTTTATTTTGTCTAGCTTGTCTGATGATGTAAGGTTTGAGTTGTTGGGATTGTTTCAGTTTTTTTCCGAAGCAATCTCGACACCTAGAAGCATCGGTCCACAATGATCCATCCAATAAGGTACAGTTCCGCAGCCATCATGCATTATCAGTTTAAAATATTGATTGTTTAACCTCCTGAGTCCTGTAATTTTTATTTCATTTTAACACTAAATACCTAATGTCCTTATATAAGACATAATATCATTACTTGCCTAAGAACTGAATTATTTTAGAATATTTAATGCGCAGTTGCCGAACGTACTTATATAATGCCACAGTTTTTAAAAATCAGCCAAGGGAAATTTTACTTTCTGGACCACTCGCTTTTGGCAACACTGGCTCTGCCCTCCTAAGCCAAATGACAGTAACTGACAAAAAATCGGATTTTGAGGTTATGATTGATTTTAATGTTTTAGACCACGAGGAATCCAAAAATCTAAGCCAGAAAACCGTATCTCTTATAGTTTTCGAGATACAGAGGTCTTATTTCACAGTAACTACAGCATATACTATGCTTTTCTATGCCAAAAAACAGTATCTGCAGGTTCTAAGCCAGAAAACAGTAACTACATTGTAGATACGGTTTTTTAGCTTAGAAAACTGTACTTACTGTTTTTTTGCTTAGAAATCTGTAATATAACAAACAGTAAATTCAAGTATAACAATACAGTATATTTTATACAGCTTAAAAAATACCTCTTTGTAAACCATCCTGCGCAAAGTTGTGTTACTCTGTGCAGGAAGTTTTTCATAAATTAAAAGACTTTGCAAACAGCTGGTTTTGTATTTACACATTTACACTGATGTTGTGTTTGGTTTGGTTTAGTAAATTCTGTTCAAACAACATTTTAGAAGTTAGTGAAGTTAATTTTAAAGCCTTTCTAAGTAATATTATGTAAACGTGAACCTGTTTAGTAGTTTTTTAGGCCTTATTAAAATGCCTTTTACATGTGAAGTATGCAAACAAACCTTTTCTCGTTGTGCTTACATAAACCATTGTGCTCAAAGCAATTGTAGGCCTAAATCCAACCCCAAAATAGGTCTAAGTCATAATGAAAAATTAGTTTCAATAAAGATTCAGCAACGTACGCCTACGTCAGAGCCTGCACCATGCAATAAGGTAAGACATTTAAAAATAATAAGGTTCAAAGTAGAAGCTGTTTTTATGACTCTTGTGCAAACTTTGGAATTCGTCTCTGACATCGATTGGTTTAGATTAGTTTATTTTGATATCAATTGAATAATCGAATAGGTAAGGTTAGGCTATGTTTGGTTAGGTTATTGATATATTGAATTTAAAATTACGATATATTTTGGCGGAGATGAATAGGCCTACCAAAATTTCCCCGACTCTAGTAACGAAATCTTGTAAATAGACCTAGGCCTACTTTATATGGGATGTTTTAGCAATTTGTTATTAGGAACCTTATTTTAGCTATCAAGAGTTGCTCAGCGAGAATTATTTTAAATATGCCCTAATCTGTGATTACATATTCAAATATTGTTCCAGGATGATTTGCCTAAACATCTTGAAAATGGTCTAAGTCATGATGAAAAATTAGTTTCAAGAAATATTCAGCAACTTACGCCTACGTCAGAGCCTTCACCAAGTAATAAGGTAAGACCTTAAAAATATTAATAAATGCTCAAAGTAGAATGCCTACTATATTGATTTTAAAATTGCGATATATTTCAGTGACACGAATATGCATACCAAAATTTCGCCGACTCTAGTAATGAAAACTTGTAACTAGGCCTAGGCCTACTTATATGAAATGAAATGAAATGAAAAATGTGTTTATTAAAGAGGCAAAGTTAGGACTTCAAAGTCCTCTCTGCCTCTTAACCTCTTAACTAATAACTTATTAACTTATATGGGATGGATGTTACAGTACTTTGTTTTCTTTCCAGAAGAATGAATAAGTATTTTTTTGTTTTTATGCCAATTTGTTTAAGAACCTTATTTTAGCTATCAAGAACTGCTCAGTGAGAATTATTTTAAATATACCCTAGTCTATGATTACATATTGAAATATTGTTACAGGATGATTCACCTACACATCTTGAAAATGGCGCCCTGTTTATGGTTGTTAGTTTGGACAAGAAGACTAGTAGTAGTAGTTCAACAGAGGTTACTGAGAAAACCCAAGATGATTCTAACACAAGTTTAAGTAATATCTTTTTGGAAGATGGAGCAAACCAAAGTAACGGTTGTGAGATTGAATCAATATTACAAGATAATATCAGTGATATAGAAGAAAACATTTTGAATATGATAAGTGGCACCCTGGATCCACAAATTCTAGATGGAGTAATGGAACTAGAACATGAACAACTGAATGAAAATGTTGGAAATGAAGAAATTCTTGGTGGAGTTGGGTTATTAATTCAACAAGAAAATAGTGAAAACAATCCAATCGTGTTTACTGAAAATAATGAGGAAATTCAGATTGAAGAAAATATAGAGAATGAGGTAAGGTAAAGTGGGTCAGGCCTACTCACTAAAACGTAATGTAAAAAACGCTTAATAAATAAAAAGTAGGTACTGCATCTGTTTATACTTAGCCTACTAGGATTTTATAAGTTAACTTATAGCCAATTATTTTTTATGAATATTCGCTTAAATTTAATCTGTGGTATGAAAACTACATGTACAATTTACAATTTCACAATTACTAGGCCTATTTTAACAGTCAACTTTTTTTACAGGGCTTTCAAATCAATCAAGCAGAACCACCTAAAGGTTTTACTAAAAAAGGAAACCCTAGAAAGCGAGCAGCACCAAGAAAAAAGGAAGAAATAAAATCAAAGCGACAAAGAAACAAAGAGAAACACAATATACAACCTCCCTGCAGCGATAATTGTAAGAGAAAATGCATTCAAAAGGTGTCAGAAGAAAGAAGGTGTGAAATACATGAACACTTTTGGTCAATGGAAGATAACGAGAGAAAAGTTTTTATTTTAGGTCATGTGGAGAAAAAAAAAGTCGTTAGAAACACAAAAGATGAAGATAATTCACGAAGAGGGAAAACTTTCTTTTACCATCTTACCAATTCTGAAGGAGAAAGAAAAAATGTGTGCAAGACTTTCTTCCTAACCACTCTCGGCTACAAAAAAAAGAATGACATGTTTGTGTTTAATGTATTGAATAGATCAATTAGTGGTGTTTCCCCTAACTGTGACAAGCGAGGCAGACATACCCCTCACAATTTCATCGATAAAACTATAATCAAAGATCACATTTTAAAGTACAACCCATGCATTTCTCACTATAGGAGAGAGCATGCGCCAAATAGAAAATATTTGCCAGCAGAATTGTCAATTACTGAAATGCACAATGCATTTTTAGAAGAACATGAAGGAATTGTTTGTTCCTATGATTTATACAGATCAGTTTTATTGGAAATGAATGTTTCATTTTCGAAACTAGGACATGAAGAATGCGAGAAATGCACAAGTTATAAGCTTCACAATCCACAGCACGTACAAGAAAATGATGAGTCGTGTTTGGAGTGCACAGAATGGCTGGCTCACAAAAAAAAGTATACAGAAGCTCGTATGTCTTACGGTGAATATATTGATGAAAACCGATTGAATGAATATAGTAATGACGGAATTGTGGTTTGTTCCATGGATCTTCAAAAAGTGTTGATGTTACCCCACATGGAACAGTTCAAGCAAGCTGTATTCACTAAAAGAATAGTTTTATTTAATGAGTCATTTGTACCTATTGGCAAAAAACCAAAAATTGAGCCCATGGCTTGCTTATGGCATGAAGCTATATCAGGCCGGAAAAAGGAAGATATAACAAGTGCTTTGCATGCGTTTCTTTTTCATTATAGGGATGCCAAAGAAATCCATCTATGGATGGATAATTGTGCAAGTCAAAATAAGAACTGGTCTTTGTTCTCCTACATGGTTGGCTTGATAAATTGCTCAGAAATTGCAAGTAACAAAATTGTCTTCAACTATTTGGAACCTGGACACACTTTTATGTCCGCTGACCAGTTTCACCATCAGGTTAACCAACAGGTAGGTCTTAATTTGTTTTCACTAATCATAAGCCAACCTATGCTTATCCTAACCATCACAAACTTAGCCTAACCAATATCCTAAGCTGTCAATTAAAATCAAACTAAAATTGAAATAGCATTGCACTTTTTGAAAAAGCATTGCACTTTTTTTTAGCATTGAAAAAGACTACTTTTTTTAATTAAAAAATATCATGTACAAAATAATAGGGTAGTTAGTAGTAACTTGTCCTAGTTATTTTCAGAGAATTCAAATGCAGCAGTAGCAGAATAGTAATTTTGGTGTTTGCTTTCAGATCAAAACAAAAGGCAAAGTCTATGATTTTGATGATTTTCAAGACGCTGTGATGAAAAGCAATTCTGGCAAAGTAATTGTGAAAAGTCTTCAACATACTGATTTCTTCAATTCTTTTGATTACTCTTCTACGTATAAAATTACAAACAAGATTCCGCGGCCATACCTCAGCGAGATGGTCCAAGTAATTTTTCAAAGAGGCTCTTTTGACATCCAGTACAAGACCTCATTTATCAGTGAACAAATTGAAAGTATTTCAATTTTGAAAGCAGGTTACCTAAAAAAAAAACAGGTTCCCATGCCTACCCGAAGATCAAACCCAAGAGGGATAAATCAAGCTAAAAAAGCTGACATCATCCAAAAGCTACTGCCTTTGATGCCTGAAAACAGGCGCTCATTTTGGTTGGACCTACCTGCGAGTAGTGACGTGCCAGATTTGGTAACTGACCAAGAAGTTGAGTAAAGTGTTAAGAGTAAAATGATGTTCTAGAGGAACTATAGATGATCAGTGTATTTTTATAATGAACAAGAGTTTAAACAATAAGAAACTAGGTCCATTAAAGATTTTATAACTTTTACGTTTTACTTAAGTATTAAATAGAAAAAATGTTGGCCTAGACAAGAGTATTATGTTGTAACCAAACATGAAAGTTAGTTAAAGAACTTTTACGTTTTACTTAAGTTGTTGGCTTAGAGTATTTTATAACTTAACTAAACATTAAAGTATAAAGTGGCTTAAAGAAATGCCTTTCTGCTTACATTTTTCTAAATGTAAATCTTGTAGCAATAAATTAATTTTAAAAAGTAAAATGTTTAATTTTTTTAAACATCCCCAAATTTTGATCCTAGCAAGTGGAAGTGACATTATATTAATCAAAAATATAAATTAATTATTCAAAAGACCAAATTACCCCAAAAGGAAATAATTTTATTTTCTTAGTTTACTTTTGTCTTTTGATTAAATTATTAACATTTCAAAAATAACCCTCATGTGTAAATAATAACAAAATATATACATTTTAAACATAGTAAAATATATGTCCAAGGTAGTTACTGTTTTTTGCCTTCTGATCAATGACTGAAACATAGTCTTACAAGAAGCAAAAAAACAGTATGTGTAGTTACTGTTTTTTGCCTTCTGATCAATGACTGAAACATAGTCTTACAAGAAGCAAAAAAACAGTATGTGTAGTTACTGTTTTTTGGCTTAGTATTTACTAACACAAATTACAGTAAGTGCAGGTATTTAAATAAAGGAATCATTTTATCGGTTTGAAAACTTGATTTTTGAATTCTAGAGAAAAAATTACATCATATTAAAAAAAAGAATCATAAAAAAATCTCTATATAGTGCCCGGCAACGTCCAAAACAGAAAACCTTAAATATCTCAAAACAACCTAAACTGTAGTTACTGTTTTTTGGCTTAGGAGGGCAGGGCTATAGTATGATTTTTGCTGTTGATGTAGTTTCACCAATTGCCACCAGAGCTCTCTGCTCTCTTTGTCTGAGTGAAAACAAGATGGCGAGTAGAAGGACTCATGAAGACCTAAGATTTAATTGCCGTAAGTACTTATTTAATTTATACCAATGTTGATTTGAGTGTTATAATCATGAAGTGTAATGGTTTGACTGACTATTTATTAAATAATTTTCTATCCAGATGCATTATTTAAGTTATTATTCGTTCTTAAATGTACATGTCCTTTTAGAAGGACATCAGGTCTTTATCACAAACATCCCATTTTTTGGTCTGGTTTATAAAAGGACATTCGGGCCCTACATCCTATAGTCTTATTTTTAAATGGGATTTTAAAAGGACGTTGGTTTTGTACATAGGTCAAGTGTTGTTTTAGTAATGTTATTTATTTTATCTACAAAAGCCTTGGTTTCCACTTTTGCTGTAAGCACTAAACAATTGTGTTTGTATTACAGTGAATGACGAGGAAGTAGATCAAGCCCTCAATGAGTTGGTTGGAGATTTGGATCTAGATCAGTCAGATTTTGAAGATATAGGAGATGACGAGCCAGATATGATGCCACATCCAAGAGGGCCACGAAACATGGGTCTAAGTCTAGAAGAGTTATTAGGAGACTGTGATGATGATACGGATGAAGATCCGGATTATAATCCAGATTTAGAAGATATCCCTAGTTCAGATTCCGAATGTGCGGATGAATCAGCTAAACCCAAGCGAAAGGTAAGAATTTAAACTATAGTAATTTTGTGCATCAACCAACCCAAAGTAAATATATTTTTTTAAGAGAATTCTCCTGAAAATGGCAAAAATGCGTTTTAAAGTTTATATTTTCTACTACTTTAGTAGTACCTTCAAGGCCAAAATGTAAGTATACCTTCAGGGAAAGCGCTCAGAGGGCAGTCATTAACTATGTGGTAAAATTAACAACTTTTTGTTTCTTGTGATGAGTAACTAGTTAAATTTAAACATGAAAACTTTCGTGAAAACTCGAAACCTTTTTTCAGAATAATACATTTAATATATCAATCCTAAAATAATTCTTTTTTTACAGCGGGATACAAAAAATTATGGACAAAATGCTAGTGGCAAAAAAAAGAAGAAAACTGCTACTGTGAAGCTGGCTGATCCTGGACCAAAGTGGACTGCTAAATCATTTAAACCTGAAGAAATCAAATTGATGGAGCCAAGATACAAGAAAGAAGAATGTGATGACTCGTGGGACGATGATACATTTGTTTATCAGTACTTTGATGATGAACTCTTGGATTTGATGGTTTTAAAGACAAATCAAACTTCAATTCACATAACAGGTAAAAGCTTAAAATTGACGTTACAGGAGCTTAAAATCTGGATTGGCATGAACTGTGTGATGTCAGCCCTAAACTTTCCGCAGATTAGAATGTACTGGGAAAAACGATTCAGGATCCCTTGTTTAGCCAGTGCAATGACCCGTGATAGATTCTATGCGATTCGTACATCACTGAAGGTTGTTTTTGACAATGATTTCTCAGATGAAGAGAAAAAAACTAACCGTCTTTGGAAAGTAAGGCCAGTACTAGATAGAGTTCTCCAAGGCTGTATGAATCAACCACGGCAAAAAGAGTTGTGCGTTGATGAAATGATGGTGCCATTTCAAGGTACGTGTGCACTGAAACAGTACGTCCCCAATAAGCCAAACCCAGTTGGACTTAAAGTGTTTGTTTTGGCAAACCCAAATGGGGTGATCTGCGATTTTAAAATTTATCAAGGAAAAAATACTTTTCCTGAAGAAACAAGCCAAGGATTTTCTCTTGGGGAAGCAGCAGTGATGTATTTATCTCGCTCATTAGTTCCTGGCCATACTTTGTATTTTGATCGCTACTTCACTACTACAAAGTTAGCAGATGCATTGCTTGACCAAGGTATTCGATGTTCTGGTACCATAATGAAAAATAGAGTACCAAAAAATACAGATTTGGTCCCAGATAAGGAATTTAAGAAAAGTGAAAGGGGTTCCAGTCAAGTGTCTGTACGGGAAGATGGTAAAATGGCAGTCACTAAGTGGCTGGATAACAAGCCAGTATCTATGCTGTCAACCAGTGAAAGCAAAGAACCACAACATCAGGTAAAAAGGTGGAACAAAAAGGAAAAGAAATATATCACTGTTAGTCAACCGGCAGTGATAAATTCCTATAACAAGAATATGGGGGGAGTTGACCTGGCGGACAGAATCATGTCGTACTGCCCTAACCGCTCCAAAACTAAAAAGTGGACTATAAGGTGCATAATGCACTTTTTTGACCTTGCAATGTCTAATGCATGGCTGCAGATGAGAGAGTTCAAGAGAAGTCAAAATGTCCGCCCAAAAGACATCCCCCAATTCAGAGCTTTTAAACTGGCATTTGGTGTACGCCCGAACAAAACCTTCAGGATGATAACGAAAGTTGTGGATCTGAACTTGAAGAATGTGACGCTGTCCATGATGTCGGGGATGGAAGAAAGGTAGCAACACCTTCCATCGAAGTACGAACAAGAGGCGCCATCCACCTCCCACAAGTAACAACTGGAGTGCAAAAAAGATGTCGCAGAAAGAACTGTGGAAAGAAAACATCAGTGTTCTGTATTAAGTGTAATGTTTACCTTTGTCTAATGGGAAACCGAAACTGTTTCTCATCCTTCCACTCAAAGTAGATTCAGTCAAGTTTCGTACGAAATACGGGTCAGCCAGTTTAAAGTTTTATACTACATAAGGCCTATATTTTATTCATATATTATTCTATTTATCTTTTATTATTTCTTATAGTTTACTCCTTTTAGATTGAAACAGTTTATTACTTCAATAGGCCATTTGGTAAAATCGTTTTATCATACTGACTAAACTTTGTGAGTTTTTGTAGCCTATAATTAAAATGTATTATTAAATACTATTTAGATTTTTTTTCCTACCTAATAGCACCTACAAAACAGTTTTCTGTGGTAAAGTTTCTTTATTGTATTTCAGGGCCTTAAGTGGATAGAAACCGTATGTCCTTCTATAAGGACATTAAAAAACCATAGAAACCTAGTGATAATATTTTTTTAATGATTTTTCCACTTAATTATGCTTTAAAGTAAGCAAGGTTACACAGTCAAATCTGAACCAGTAGCAAAAAAAAATCTCAGGATTCTACAGGGGGTACGTTAAAGGTGCTTATAGAAGGACATTAGGCAGTCACCTACAAAACACATTACAATTCACAGGGCTATATCAAGTAAGTAATTGTGTCATTGTATAAGGCGGTTGGGTCCCAGGAGGTTATGTTAGGTTAGTAATCAATATTTTGAACTGTTAATATTCCGTATAAGGATATCTGCAGAACTGTGAGATTTGAATTTGAGATTTGGGGCCTCCTCCACCCGCACGACCGGTTTTCTCCTACTAGGTCTCGTTCTCTCGCTCGCACTTGCACACAGTCCCAGACTCGGCTCTTGTTGTCATTGTCAGTCCAGTCTGGCGACTGCATTTGCCTGCGTAGGAGTTAAAATGGACGATAGTGGTTTGATACTTTTTCTTGACTTGTTTTGATTTGAAAGTAGTGTTATGACTATTTACAACGATGGAGCATTGGCTGAAACCTGGGTCTGTTAAGAGGAAACCGGAATCCACTGACGAAGGTGAGCTTAGTCGTCCTTCTACTAGCAATGACGTTAAAGTGCCTCGAGTATCGTCAAATGTTAAGAAAGGGAAAAAATATATCAAAAATATTGTCCTGAATACCTCCAATACGGATTTAAGTTTATAGGTACCGATGATGAACCTACACCCCAATGCGTAATTCGTTTTGAAACCCTGGCTAATGAAAGTATGAAGCCGTCAAAACTTTAAAGGCACATTTCAACAAAACATCTGGAATGCTTGAATAAGCGTTTGATATTTTTTCAAATGTAACAAAAAAGAACTGTTTTCAACTCGGTTGAATATGGAGAATGTGTTATCGGGGAAAGGCAATAAACAAATTATCACGACCTCATACCAGTTGTCTTTGCTAATAGCAAAAAATGGTGCATTGCACACATCAGGTGAGAATCTTATTTTGCCTGAGACAAAAATAATTTTGTCACTTCGGTTTGACGAAAAAGCAGGTCAACAGATAAGTCAAATATATCTGTCCAACACTAGAGTGAAACGTAGAATCGACGAAATGTCTGGTAATGTAAAGGAGAGTTTGATATCAGCATTGAAAGAAAATTACCGTTATTCCTTACAATTGGATGAAAGTACAGATATTGCTGATTTGTAAGGTTTACTTCAATGGTTCATTTGAAGAAGAAATGTTGTTTTGC